AATGTGACGGTCAATCCCACTATTCGTTGGTAAAAGAGTAGCCCAAGAGTTGGCGGTGGGTGGTGATGACTAGCTGCCTTCCCTCTAGTCTTACACTGCTAAATTAGGGACGGCTAGCGCAGATAGCCCTCGTGTAGCTTTGCGCGAAATTCAAAAACAAACAAACACTCTCAGTGTCATCCTTTACCTAGATTGGTCTTTTCTGCCAAAAACATTGGCTGCATGTGAGGGCAATATGCCTTCACTTCCATTTATCTTCGTTATCATCATTCCAATCTGGATCGTCTCTTATGTCCTCTCTGGGTTCTCCACTGTTATGTGGCTCACACTGCTCCTTTCTGTGGTTCCCATTTGTTTATTCATTGGAATACTTCATTTTCCCATGATATTTCTCCTATTAAACTTATGGGTTGGATTCACCAGCTTATTTTCTTGTCTTATTCTTCCTTGTCTCTTGATGATTGTTGTCTATTCAAAGTCTCCTCCCATCAAATCCGTCACCTTACCATGTCCCTGGTTACCCGATTCTGTTGTCCATTAGAGGATATAGCTTGTGCCGGCATGTGGACCACTCTCCATACATTTATTTCACATTATCTTCATTGTTTGGCCATTTCCTGCTCTACAAGCTACTGTCTACCTCTCATCATTATCTTGAGCTCCACAATTTCTCTTTGAGTAGGTAGGTGCTCTTTTTCTACTTTTCTTCTTTACAGGGGCCTTTCTCACATACCTGGATCTTGCTCAGTGGCGAATGTTGCCTGATCAGATATACTTATTCTCAAACCCGCACTGTATGACCATTCAGGTCAATAACGCTCACCATTGATATGTGGTGTTCTGCAAGACCGCTTGTAGGTTTTCCTTGTGGTGTTTTGTGTCATAAATATGTTTGCCTCAGACTGTACACGTGGAATAACATGAGTAAAGCAGAAGGGAATTGCTGCCCATTCCTTCCAGTCCTTCATTTGCTTGTATTGGGAATGGTCTGCTTTTCAGTATAAGGTCACCCATTGCACTTTCTCCGGTTCTGCAATCCTACAGACTCTCTAACACATTTTTTTCCCTTCCTATTTCCAGTGGAGTGTGGGAGTCTTTACCACTTACCAGCTCCAAGCCACAGGGATGGTGGATCACGGAGGCTTCCTCCTGACTGTGCTAAATTCTACTGAGTTCAAAGTGTGGCAGTGGTGTTGTGTTCTGATGGTGTAGAGACACTCCTCCTACTGCGAACCTGATGTACTATTCCAGATGCAGTGGTCTGCTGCTGGTGTAGATGTGTAGACATACTCCTCCTACTGCAAACCTGATGTACTATTCCGGATGCCGCCTGGATATGGACTGGATGATTTCTGCCAAAATACAATTCACCCCTTTGGCTGAGCACTTTCTTTCTTACTCTCACCCAGAGGCTAGTTTCTGGTGGGTACTGATGTTGGTTGTGTTGGACATGCACACATGATGATGCTGGTCCTTGGAATGGATGATGATCTACCTTCCAGTTCCAGTGTCCAAGGTGAATGGTATAGGGACCTCTTCTACCATGGACCAAATATTCCTATCATGATTATGCTGGTGTTAGTTGAGGTTGAACTCCTCCCTTACAATCTGCTGTTCTCTAACTTTTCTACACCAGGGGTCCCTGCATATGATTCTGCCCTTAATGCAACACATCAATTTTAAGGGCAACAAGTATACCTTGCTCAGAAGTGGTGAGGTATCCCACAGGTATGTCTTACAGACTCTTTATTCACACACACCATGGGCTTTCTTTGGATGCTTTGTGAAGTGGGCTCTTCTAGGTACTGTCACACTGGTCCCTCCATTGGGTCAGTGTGGAATTCTAGCTATTCTATGAGCAGAGGTAACATATCGTATCGGAAGTTAACATTTTTCTACACTTAAAATGTATTTCTGATAGATTCTTACCTCCTCTCACACTTCCTTCCCTTCCTTCACTCTTCAGGTATCTTTTCTTTTTCTGTTGCTCAATCTCAAGGTAAACTTGGACTAAGCTGCATAGAGGGAATTGGCTGTATTGGGAGTTGTTTTGCACTCCTCTTGTAGGAGGGTTCTCACATGATTATTTGCATGCTATCACGCAGCTGCCTCATGCAAAAACACGTGAGAGTGATTGAGAATATCAAAACTAGTTTCGAGCACAAATTTGTGCATATAAAGGGCAGTACAAGTTGGGGAAAGCTATCATGTAAGAGGAGGTAAGAATCTTTCAGAAATACATTTTCAATGTAGGAAAAATCTTAACTTTTAACATATCTTTTAAGTCTGCACTTCATACTTATGTTGGATAATAAAGTAGAATATTGCTGCATCATAACTTTCTTTCTTTTCAATGCCTCATTAAAGTAAAGACAAGGATGAGATGTGAGTTTATTTTTCTATATGTGTAAGCAATTGTATATAACCCTACAGATTAGTATTTAGTATTGGATGTTGTTAAAATTTTGTTAATATTACTACATATATTTACTCTTCTTTTTTTTTCTCATGGTAACTTGGCTTAATCTTGTTTTTAACAAACCAAGTGTATTCACTATTACATTCATCTGTTTTTAGTTTAATAATTATATGCTATTTAACAAGTTATTAGTTTTTATAAAAAGTTGAGTAACTTCTCTTTTTGAAACCTTAATTAACTTGTTTCTTAATTTTCTAAACTTTTTATTTACTTTAAGTGAAATAAAATAATAAATACAAAATGCAAGCCTTTCTTAGGCTAAGTTGATACTTCCAGAATATACGTAGCTTGTTATAAGTTATTTCTAGACCCTTCTTGGCATTTAAAACCAATCACTACAGAAGTGTGACAACTATATGATTTTTATAATGTGGTAGATCCAAACATCTTACCTCTCACATCTTGCAGTGTATTTTATTAATTGATCGAATTTCAGTGACTTTTAATAACATTGAAATCCAAACCCTTCAAAGGTAAAAATTATGTGTTATATAGGGTTTGTGCTTTTTCTACAGTATTTGTATTGGCATTACTTAATCTTCCTTGATGCTAGTTTACAACCAATCATAATCATCTACACATATAGCAATGATTTCTCAGACTAACCAAACACAAATATGTCTAAGTAACAGTTAGTATAACTATTTTGTTGTTGTTGTTTTTCAGGTAAATTTTACTGTTCTACAGTATATTTTTTGAGTTTATTTTAATCTATAGCCTTTGTGAGATGCATGCATTTCCTAATCTCTTCCTTGCTAAATAATTTTTCTAATTTTAATTGTTACAGGTCTGTTTTTAGTATAGAACATTGGTCAAGGGAACTACTGAGTTCTTCTTGTCTTTGTTGTAAGTTGAGTTACTTGGTTGCCAAAGTAGTTACATGTGTTTTTCTATTAAAAGAGACCACTGCAGTAGGAACTATGCTATGAATAGAAGTATCTATAGCCTTTGTGAGATGCATGCATATCATGCATTTCCTAATCTCTTACCTGCTAGATAATTTTTCTAATTTTCAATGTTACAGGTCTGTTTTTGGTATAGAACATTGGTGAAGAGAACTACTGAGTTCCTCATGTCTTTGTTGTATGTGGAGTTACCCTGGTTGCTAAGGTAGTCACATGTGTTTTTATGTTAAAAGAGACCACTGTAGTAGGAACTATGCTACGAATAGAAGCATTGGTTTGTTCTAGTGGTGAACCATGGGATTGCTTGTGGGTACATTCTACTCCTTGTTTACTCTCTTCAGTGTCATGGATAGTGTATGGGCCAGAGGAGAGAGAACCTTGTATATAATGTAATGTTTTCCTATGTTTACCACACTGAGATATATTTGAGATTTTACAAGCTTTTAGAACATAGCCATCTTTCAGATTTAGATTTTGTTTAGATTCAGCATTAGAGAATCTTTATTTGTTTGATTGTGATTTGTCTTCAGGCATATACATTGTGTGTAGTACTACTTTAACCCTTGAACTAAAGGCTAGAGGTACACTGGAAAGAAAATATCAATAAAACTCTCTCCAAGCAGGCTTGCTTAGCAAGTCTTTAATTTGACTTTTTTTTGCATAATAAATATCGTGATTTCTTACACTCTGGGTCCATTCTCTTTGTTTTGATTAAGATACAGTCATAGACATAGAAAATGCAGTACTGCTTTGTAATATGATGTCTGCTCAACCCTCCAGGTTTGGAGGTTTCTGCAGGCTGCTCTGAGGGAAATTGGCAATCTGAGAATACCACACCTTCAAATGACATGATTATCTACTTATACTGTGTTTTGGTTACAGTTTGTTCCAGATACCCTGATGTCAGAATTGTGTGCCAGGTTTTTCTGGTATTACCATGGTAGCCAGTTCATTTGTGATTTTCTGTGATACCAGCTTTGTGAATGAATCTTTGACTTGTCTTATAGGGTACCAAATTTTATGTCACCTATAGGTAGTTGTTATGTATATATCTGATATTTACATATAGCATCTTGGAAAGGAGGCTACAAGCAGTTGAGATTTTTTCGTATATACAAGGAATTTACAGAATTTGTAAATTCCTTTTATCTTCAGCATTCTTAGAAGTCTAATGAACTGAATGAAATATTCTTCTTCTTAAAGTTGTTTGTCTTCTATTTTCTGAAATATTGGCATTGATAATTTTAAGAAACTTTTCATTGATGACTTCAAATATGCTGATTCTTGTTTTGTGCCACGACTGATATGGTATCAGCTGTGTACATCTTGATGTTTCTCCTACAGTTGTATGTATCTGATTGAGTGGTGTAGACTTCAGGGTTATGGCTACCTTATCTTCAACTTTTGACTGAATGGGAAGCTACTTAAGTGTATTCCACATCTACTGCAGTATGTTAATCATCTGGATGTACAACTTCTTTGTCTCTCAGAAGGTCAGTAAAAGTTTGTGGAGTTACAACACAAAACTGGGGTTTGATTACCTGTAAGGAACATAGAGTGCAGATAGTCCTTTGTGTGTGTCTGAATTAAAAAAAAAAAGAAGACGTCTTTGGGTCAAGGTGATTCTTTATATATTTCTCCTTTCAAAGGAGGTGGGTTAACTACCCTGTACTTGCTTTTGGGTAGGACTTCACATTTATGGTATTCTTGTATTGCTCTCTATGTTCTTTCATCTCCTGCTATCTCTGCATGGATTATAGCACAAAGTAATAAGTATTTAAATATATTTCTGATACGATATTGTACGTTCTATCACAAAATAGCTTTTCTTGATAAGTACTGTCCTCTATTGTTGCAAATTTTCAACACTTGCCACCAGCCTTTTACCTCCGCTTCTCCATTTCCATGTTTAAATGATTAAGCAGTAGCTCTCCACCAATAGGAGTGTGACACAACCCCTGTCGTAACCAACACCCTCTCCACATTTGCACTCTTTAATCATTTCTTGAGTGGCAGTAGTACTGTACAGACATCCTTGTTTTTGCTAGCAAATTTGTTGGCATTTTCCTTTACACTACAGAGTTAGTTTTTCTTCACTATGTTTTTATTATTTCTTTATTTACAGGGACCTTTTTGCTAGTGTATTGTGGATCCCATTCTGTGGTGAGTGATGCCTGACCAGGTATACTTTTTTTTTCCAAAAATCTGTATTGTACATCCTGAGACTATGCTCGATGTCAATTACATTGTAGCTCTTCCTACTGTGGACCTGATGTACAATTCCACATGCCACGAGCAGTTGGTTATGTGTTTCCATTCAATTTTCATCTATTCCAAAATATTTATGTCACAAAATTAGGTTAAGCACACAGTAGAGATGAGGTGTGTTCTTTAAGACTGCTATTAGTTCTCTCTATTGGTCTTTTGCTTCATAAATATGTTTGTCCCCAGACCATACACTCGTGGACACACATGATTAAAGCAGACAGGGATTGCTGCCAATCTGTGATACTCTGTGGCATTGTGACTCTTCCTACTGCAGACCTGACATACAGTTCCAGATGCTGTCAGGTGTTGGTTGATCGATTCCATCGACATGGTAGCTCTGCTTTTCAAAATAGGGTATTGTGGTCGCCCATTGCACTGTCTTTGATGATGCAATCCTCAGGACTCTACAATGCATTTCCCCCTCCTTTCTTCTAGTGGAGTGTGGGAGTCCTTGCCCCTTATCAGTTCCTAGCTGCTGGGATGGCAGACTGTGGAGGCCTATCCTCTTGAGTGATGCATCATACCACTCAGTTGAGAGTAGAATGATGTTATAAACAAACAGACAGATGATACTGTACTACTTTGAATTATCCTCTACAACAGCCTATATAGTGAAATAAAATTAGAAATTTGTTTCATATACTATAGGGTAAACTGCATGTATAGTTATAATCAATGATAGTATGGGGTCCACATGGACCCCAGATGAATATTATATTATAGTACTCTGTCTGCCTATTTCAAAAACAGTAGTGTCATATTGATCTAGGGTTTCTGCTTCACGAGTACATAAACTGATATAAATTTGTAATGATTAGGTAAAAAAGATATACAACCAAGAAAGTTGTTAGGGTCCATGTGGAGTTAAGCTTGAGTACTTCATCATTTGATTTTAGTTGTAGGCTTTCATTCAACACTATATATGTGCATTATTTGATTATATTTCTAACTTACTTCTGAGTGATTAAAAATTTAAGCTGGTATGAAAAAAAGGAGCTGTAATAATAATATTTTAACTCCACTGTCAGCTTGTTTGATTTAGGCAACTTCATAATATAATTCATAATTGTATCATTTTATCGACAATTTTCATGCAATTATTATCAGTAAAGTATACATATGTTTATGACTATGACATACTCATTTGTTCATATAAGCATCAAGTACTATACTTCATAGCTTCTTTACTGATTAATCCTAATTATGAGAAATAGTAATGGATATTAAACATACAGATTTGTAATACTGTAAATTTTGTTATTACTCACTGTAAAAAATGTTAAGCTATTCAACAAACTTGACTATGCTAAGTAGCTAAGTTGTAATAGTTAAAGATGTTTGGTTAAGGAGGTTATATTTAGGTATGAATTTAGTTTTTATGATTGTTTTATGATTCGTTGTTTTTTATTCCTTTTTTTTAATAGTATTAGTTTTACATATTTTTTTTGTATATATTTTCAGAAAGTAAACCAAAAACATTACCTAATCACTGTTTTCAGTTAAATGATTTAATTTTTTGGTTCTGGTAGTATGATGAAGATTATACCAGTCCCTATTTAAAGACTAGGGATCTTTACTTTTCAGTATTGACAGTTCTAGTATACATGTAGTATTCATTTTCATTGAATGTATTTCCTTTTCAGCTTTAACATTATAGCTAATTTCTTGAGCCTTTTATTTGACATAAATTTTCAAGTAATGAGTAAATGAAATAATAATTAATACATTATGCTCTTAGAATAAAATCCTTTATATGTACACCTTCCCAGTATGAAAATATCATTTGCAGAAAGTATTTGGATTAAAAGTCTGTAATATACATATAATTCATACTGTAATTATCTATTGGTCAGAGCAAGCTATGTACTTAGAGCAAAACTAAAAATCTGCCTGGCAATCACTGTATATGCTTAACTACAAAACATTTAATCGTGTTCAGCAGTTAGCCACATTGGCTTTGTACCAGTAAGATATATTTATGTTATCAGAAATAACAAAACTGTTAAATAAAACAAAATGTTCTATCTATAGTTGTATTATTCACAGGTATGCTAAAACTACTACTTATCTGTATACATGTATATTTATTCAAAACATATAGGAAAAAAGTCATTTATATGTACTTGAAAATAATCTATGTGACATTTGTAACACTAAACGAATTTTTTCAATTCAAGAGTTCAAAAAGAACTAGAAGATAGGCGCAGTCATTTTGATGGTGACACAAAGTCTTTTCCTGATGTATATGAGGATCCTGTGAGCCAGCTTAACGTCCATGACTTTGTGCCTAATTTCCAGAGAGTTTCTATCAGTGGAGAGGAAACTTCAGGGGTAAATGGATTTGGTTGGATGTTATGCTATATCTAGATGTACATGTGCAACAATCTGTTTATATTGATGTTTGTGTTTGTGTCATGGTACAAGTATTGGTTACCACATGTGTTCTTTTATGCACATTTGTTCTTTTTTTTAATGCATGAGTCTGTCTTCCATTGTGCTTTTACTTCATACAGTATGACAGTTAGGTTCTATAATTTTTTTTTAACGTTGTTAAAAACATCTGTAAATATACTTGCTTGTGTTGTTTTTTTTAAGACAACCTTTGCTGGCTGTTTTTGAGATGGATTTGCCTGATTTAGGTATATTTTCATTCCTTTAGATGAACATGTTTTATAAGTGGAAAGTAAAAAATGAAAATGATGGCTGAATAACAATGTTTTACAGTTTTGAAGAGATTAATTACTACTATAAGCTATTTTCTTTATCATATTAAATGCAGAACTTTTGTAATAATTGCATCTTTACTCCAGTTCATTCATTATAGCTTTTATAGCATCAGCAAAATTAAGTAAAAACTAGCTATAGCATACCAACATTTGTGAGCTGAATAGCATTAACATATTTTTATTTTTTGAGCTTAAAGTCAGCCTGTATACCTAAGTACATTTACATTTTATGGTATTTGTAAATATTTTTGTAATAAGCAATATGTAATGTCATGAGTAGTATTGTTATTAGTAAAATTGTATTGCAATTTAATAGTAACTGAGTAATTTCTCTGTTTAACTCTTTTTGCCATGACCTTTGCTTTGAGTGGGTCTAAGAGTATGTCACGATCTTTTAATTTCTACATGTTATACTCAAAAATTAATTACACAACTTTGTTATCAATGCATGTCAGTAAACTTGACATTAAAATGTAGTTTATGATTCAAATTTGTATACTATCTAAGTTTATCTTCTTAATTTCAAAAAGAAAATTAAAATGTCAATTTTTTTTATGCCTCCTAATGAGTTAGAGCTTCAATTTCTCCATTTCAGAGTTTTCTAATATTGAAAATATGCTACTACAGCTTTCAATGTTAATTTCACAGAATGTATTTTATTTTGCAGCTTTAACATAATAACTAATTTCTTGAGCCTTTTATTTGACATAAATTTGCAAGTAATGAACAAATGAAATAATAATTAAAACATTATGCTCTTAGAATAATATTCCTCTTCTGTTCACCTACTAAATATGAAAATATTACTCACAGAAAGTATTTGGATTAAAAGTCTATAATATACATATAATTCATACTGTAATTATCTTTTGGTCAGAGCAAGCTATGACTTCAGGAAAATACATCTAAAATTTCACAAACTGAGGTCTGGGCTTGATTCTAAGCATAGTTCATAATATACAATATACTACATTAACTATTATTATAGTTACAAGCAAGAATTTAACATTTGCACCTCCTACCTTGAGAATTTTGTCAAACCCACTAGAGAAGCTCCTCCATCACCCTCTCTATCTCTGAATTTCAAGACTGTTTTGATAATCAATTTTACATGTCTGATATACATTTCATAACCAATAGGAAGAACAGATTCTTTTATACATAAAGCTTATTACAGCTGTATGATTTTGGCACCCATAGAACAACAGTCTGTGATTGTTTCTTTGTATGTGAACATTGTATTCCTACCCCAAATGGAATTTTTTAAACCTTGTTTTAACTTACTGACAAAGCCTGATAAATTATAGTAATTTTAGGAGTTCTATATTTTTTGTGTTCTAAAATTCATATTTATTTTGGACAACCAAATTTGTGACACTCAATGAGGCTTAAGGAAAAGCAGCTTCAAATTTTAAGTGTGAATGAGCTCAAGTACACAGTGAGTACAACAAATCCTTATCTGTTATGTATATTTTTTATTTATTGTTATAAGCTATATATTTTCAATATGGTAACTCAGGTGTTAGCTAGGAGAATCTGTGAGTTGTAATGATGCCATTAAAATAGGCCTAGAACACCTAGTAACATCCATGTTTTCTTTAAAGTCAATCAAAATTTATTTGATCGTTTTAAAAAGTGATAAAAACATTTGTTTAAGTGTACATCTACTGTATCAAGTAATCGTTTTGCTACTGTAATAGGATGATGTAAAGAATAAGAAGAGTTTAGTTTTTAAGATGCATTAATATATTAATATATTCTTAAGTTTTTTATCTTTCTTCACTGTAAATTATTTTCACACCAGTCTTCAGTATTATAGTATTCTCAGATGTATAGATTTCTCTCAGAGTAAACAGGTAGGATCTGGAGATCCATTAGATACTAAGTTATGGAGTAAAGGTTTATTTTCCTTGACTTGGACTGAGTCTAACGCAAAAAAGGCACTGTATACAAAATTGCACAGATCCACAATCTTTATTACACAAAAACAATAAAAAATGCTTGAACAAGACAAGTGTTTGTGCTTGTGAGACACAGGAAAGAGTGAAAGAGAATCTTTATTAGTTTGTTTATACCAGTTTAGTGTGAGCCCACTTTGAATGAAAATGAAAGTTAAAACTTAAAGTGACACGATCTCATCTGCAGTGGCATGACAACTGAGAATGGCTTCCTATATACAGAAGTAGATAGAAAGCCCCTCTCTCCTTTTATAGAAACATCTGAAACGTTTAAACAACTCTCATCTTCAACTTCTAAAGTGAATTGTATAGTAGGGCTGATCGAATTCAGATGTCTCTGGAACTCAGCATGTTGCATGTGAGCTTGTGTCACCCATGGTCACAAAAAATGTCCTAATTTTCGTCTTTTGTCTACAGGACTGTTAATGTTTCTTCATATGATGAGGATTTGATGTTAGAATTAACATATTGAAAACAGGTAGCGATTGATAGAGAGTATCAACCTAAAACCATAGATAGGATGTATTGTAAATATTGTAACAAACTTCAAATTTCTGGATGTACTAAACTGCAGATGGCAAAAAAGGGGAGGTTGAGAAAGAATATAATTGTAAAAGGTTGTAATATACACATTTTGACCCTGCTGTATAGAAAAAGTTAACAAAAAAGACAAAGTAAAATAACCAGTTTTAAAAGAAATGTACAGAAACATGTACATATATGTGTATATAGGCAAGGACATTCCATTTAAATACACATGTAAAGTAAACCGTTCACGAAAATATATAACAAGACATAAGAATAAACTACTTACATAAAGAAAATAAATTAAAATCATTCACAAAATGTGTGTATATATGCACAGTTTTATACACACACACACATACACACTCAAAGAAATTAGAGAAGCTGAAGCTACTTGTCTGTAGAAGTCCTGACATCAGGTCCTCCAATGCAGCTATTGATTTGCAGTGCACTGTGGTTGTCTGACAGATGATCTCTCTCTGTCTCTCACAAGAACCTTCCTTCTTCTTTGCAAATTTGGCCATGGAAGTTAATGCCCCATTGATGGTGGCTGCCATTACTACCACCTCCTCAAAAAGTGTCATGGTAGTGGTTACCATTGTTACTGGATTGGTGGTGGTTGGTTGATTTTCCCATTTCTTTGAAATCTTTTTAGTAGATTTTAACACTCTGAAGGTCATGCATGGTCTGTGAATATGGTGGCCTTGCTTGAGGTGTATGCACATAGAATGTCTTTGGTGTTTTTCAATTAAGCATCTCTGAAAGGGTACTTGAATCTTTTCTTCAAATGCTCTGCTTTTACTTGAGTTTCTTTTCATAGATCTCACTTCTAGAAGTGCTTGAGCCAATTTTGGATTCACCAGCTAGATAGTTGAACCCACATTCGTTATCTTAAATAGCTGGGCTGGAGACTTGAGGTCTAGTCTGTCAGTGACCTCAAGCAATGCCTGTATGTTCAGTGGATTGTGGAACAACATATCCCCATCCACAGACTCTGCCGAGGTGAAGGCGAGGTCAATCCCTAGAGTGGTAGGAAATGCAAAATGTTCTGGAACATATCCAAAGTCACCTAAAAGAGAACTCGCCATGTAGAATTTTGGCTTTAATGTAACTACAGCTCACAACTGGCTAATTGAAAACAGAGTTAACCAGAAGGGTGAAGAATTTGAGCATAAATAACAAAAGTGAGGATTGAAAATACAGAGTCAGACAAACTAAAATATTTGCTGTGGTGAAGCAGCATGTGAATAGGCTTACATATAATACAGACATATGTCCTCCTTGTAGAAAACAGTACGTACTACGTATGGACAACTTGGTCCACTGAAGCATCCTTGTTTCTCATGCTTGATCTATAATTCATCTTTGTTTTCATTACAATAGTAATGGTCCTCAACTATTAAGAAACACATACACATTTCTTTTGCTATCATGTGGTTGTTATAACAAACAGAGCCTGGATCTAATAGGAAATAAATGTGGGATGAATCTGCAAAGTTAGATACCCACACTAATAACCAAAATAGGTTGGCCAACATGTGGGCAATTACCTAGATTGTGTCGACTGTAAAAATTCATTAACACCAGCATCTCGTTTACCATGGTGTGTGGTCATTGATCAGTAAAGATCACATAATTATCACGGTCACTGCAGGATGTAAATAACTTTTATTTTAACTTTAAATGCTCCAAATGTAAGAATTTATCATACCAGTGAGATGTAAAACTATGTATGCTATCTCTGACTTTCCTCAGGTTTTGTGCTAAATCCTCTTAAATTAAGTTTCCACATTTTAAGAACTGGTTACCTTTGGTTTGTTTTATTCAAAATCTCTCTCCTCTCTCTCTTTCAAGGGTGGTCATTGGGCAGACTTGCTTTAGCAAGGTCACTCACATGTTATAGTCAATTGAATTATGTGGCACAGAATTTTTTTCAATTTTATAGTGACCCAATTTGGTTTAAGTAAAATGTATAATATTGACAATTTCATTACTTTTCATACTGTCACCAACAATGGATGTTATGAAAATTTATTTTAAAAATTAACATAATAGCTACATGTGATAATTCTGCTCTGATTCATGTTGCATAATATCACTAAGCAGGCCCAACCTTATCAGG